GTCAAAGGAACCCTGGGACACTGTGGAACATCATGGAATCAAGGGGCAATTGTGACACTGTGGGACCTCATGGAACCAAAGGAACCCTCAGACACTGCAGAACCTCATGGAACCAAGGGGCTGTTGTGACACTGCAGAACGTCATGGAGTCAAGGGATATTGTGGCACTGAGAAGCCTCATGGAACCAAAAGAACCCTGGAACGCTCAGGGAAAGTCATGGAACCTAGGGGCCATTGTGACGTGCGGAATCTCATGGAATAAAAGGGCCATTTTACCACTGCAAAACCTCATGGAATCAAGGGGCTGTGAAGGAATCACAGAATCAACTAGGTTGGAAAAGACCTATGAGATCATCGAGTCCAACCTATGACCCAACACGACCTTGTCAACCAGACCATGGTTCTAAGTGCCACATCCAGTCTTTTCTTAAACACCTCCAGGGATGGTGACTCCACCACCTCTCTGGGCAGCCCATTCCAATGCTCAAGCACCTAGTCTTCTGAATGTCCAACCTAAACCTCCCCTGGTGCAGCTTAAGATTGTGTCCTCTTGTCCTATTGCTGGTTGTCTGGGAGAAGAGACCGACCCCCATCTCGCTCCAACCTCCTGTCAGGGAGTTGTAGAGAGTGATGAGGTCTCCCCTGAGCCTCCTTCTCTCCAGGCTCAACAAGCCCAGCTCCCTCAGCCTCTCCTCACAGCACTTGTGCTCCAGTCCCTTCACCAGCCTCATTGCCTTTCTCTGGACCTGCTCCAGCACCTCAACATCCTTCCTGAACTGTGTGGCCCAGAGCTGGACACAGCACTCCAGGGGTGGCCTCTCCAGTGATAAGTCCAGGGGAAGAATCACTTCCCTGCTCCTACTGCCACACTGCTCCTGATCCAGGCCAGGATCCATTGGCCTTCTTGGCCACTTGGGCACGCTCTGGCTCCTGTTCAGCCTCTGTCAGTGAGTACCCCCAGGACCCTTTCTGCCTGGCTGCTCTCCAGCCACTCTTTCCCCAGCCTGTCGTGCTGCAGGAGGTTGTTGTGGCCAAAGTGCAGGACCTGGCACTTAGCCTGGTTGAACCTCATCCCCTTGGACTTGGCTCATCTCTCCAGCCTGTCCAGATGCCTCTGCAAAGCCTAACTCTCCAGCAGATTGACACTCTCCCCCCACTTGGTGTCATCTGCACATTTGCTGATGGTACTGATGCCGTGGGATGTAGGTGCTTCAAAAAAATCTCCGGAGCAGTTAATTAGGGGTGAGATAAGAAAGGGTTTATTATGCCGAGGCAAAGATGTTATGATGCGCGCACTCGCTGTGCCCCAGATGTTACATTTTATAATACCATCTATCCAATCCCAAATGTGTCCACCCTGTGGCCTTTACTCTGGACCGTCCTGGGTCCACCCCCGAGAAATGGGTCTGGGGTGTATTTTGGGACCCTCTACTTCATCATCTTCACCATCTTCAGAGCACAAAGGGTACATAGTCACCCAGTTCTTGACTTCATTTTGTTGTTCAGACCCTGATATGCTGTTCTGCAAACAATCTAGGCCTTGCCTTGACAAAAGACTAAACATTGACACTGGATTTGGGGGTAGGAGTGATATAGGGAGCATAGAATGGGGTAAGAGGGTTAAGGAATGTGTAAACTAAGGGTGCTACAGGGAAAGGGACAAGGGAGTGAGGGTTGCTGCTTTTAGAGTCTACTTCCACTACTTATAAAACTTATAAGGCTTACAAATATTAGAAAAATAAAAAAACTATTAGGGGCTTAAGGCATCAGTACACTCGATCCCTTCATCCAGATCATCAGTAAAGATGTTAAACAGGACTGGGCCCAGCGCTGATCCCTGGGGACACCACCAGTGACCAGATCCCAACTGGATGCAGCACCGTTTCCCACCACTCCCTGGGCCCTTAACCCAGCACAGAGTGCCCTTGTCCAAGCCTTGGGCTGCAGCTTTTCCAGGAGTGTGCCATGGGAGACAGTGTCCAAGGCTGTGCTGAAGTCCAGACAGACACATCCACAGCCTTCCCCTCATCCACCAGGCAGGTCACCTGGTCATAAAAGGAGATCAGGTTGGTCAGACAGGACCTGCCCCTCCTAAACCTGTGCTGGTTGGGTCTGATCCCTTGTCCATCCTGTAGGTGCTGTGGGTTTGCACTTAGGATGATCTGCTCCAGAACCTTGCTGGGTACCAAGGTCAGGCTGACAGGCCTGGAGTTCCCTGGATCCTCCTTCTGGCCCTTCTTAAGGATGGGGGTCACACTGGCCAACTTCCAATCATCTGGGACCTCCCCAGTGAGCCAGGACTGTTGGGAAATGACGGAGAGCGGCTTGGTGAGCTCTTCCACCAGCTCCCTCATCACCCCAGGGTGGATCCCATCTGGTCCCATAGACTTGTGAGCATCTAAGTGGCTCAGCAGGTCACCAACTGCTTCCTCCTGGATTACAGGGGGGCTGTTCAGCCTCCTGTCCCTGTCTGCCAGCTCCAGAGGCCCCTTGTCCTGAGGACAACCTGCCTTATTGTTGAAAACTGAGGCCAAGAAGGTGTTAAGTACCTCAGCCTTTTCCTCATCTTTGGTAATTATGTTCCCCCAAACCTCGTGTCCAACAAAGAATGGAGGTTTTCTTTGTCCCTCCTTTTGCTATTGATGTATTTATAAAAACACTTTTATTATCCTTTCCTAATCTTCGTTTGCGAAGCCCAGCCATGATGATGATTTATTATCCTTTACAGAAGTGGCCAGATGGAGTTCAAACTGTGCTTTTGTCTTTCTAATTTCTTTTCTGCAGTTCGTTTCGTTGTTCTTCTGAGTGAACAGAGGGGTTTGATTTTTCTTTTCTCTCGGGTGAGTTATGCTTTACAGTCCTCACCTGCCTTTCAGGAGGTTTTCACAGTTGTTTTCTGGCTCCTTTTCGTATGTTCCACAGCATGATTTTCCCAGCCCTTGTGCCTTGCATGGTTTACCACGTCATGCAAGAGTTCTGCCCACATAGGGACCAGTCTCCTCAGGGCCTGTGGATCTCGCAGAGTTTCATTATGCATTACATCTCTTTTGATTTCATTTCATCACCCCACTAAAAACATTTTCCTTGCATATTTTCCCACTCCTAGCAGTTATCCACAGGCCAACAATCATCTGTGTTAATGTGTGATTGTGCCTCCATAAATATTCTGTTAAGCCTTTTGTGTTTCTCAAAATCATTTGCCATCCTGCTGACTACACCAAATTGTTGTGGGTGGGAGTGGAAGGCTTTGCAACAAAGTTTATTAGAGAAGTTCCTACTGTTGAGTCCCGAGGTGCAGAAAGGACTCCCTGGCTTTCTAAACTCCTGCTCAGACAGGAGCCTGGGGTCAGCTGGATCTAATCTCAGCCTTGGATTACATTAACAAAGGATTTAAGGAAAGACAGACGTGATTGAATCAGCTTTTAATGACAGCAAATCAGATATATTTATATGTATAAAGTTATTTATTATGACAAAGGAACAGACAAGTGAACAGAAGAAAGATCTTAACCAGAATAATTTACTACACAGTATAAACACTAAAAATTTACCAGTAGCATATATGTCATGGTTTGAGATAGCCCCAAAAATCCAATTCCCTAGCTCCATCCCCCCTCCCACATCTCAACCTAATGTGAGAGAGGTTTTTCCAGACAAAACACACCAGACTCCAAAGTGGGGGAAAGGGAAATATATTACAATGACTGTACAAATAAATACTATATCACATTATACACACGATTACAACTATCTCTACCATGACATATAGTATTTACAATGATCAGATCTCTTCTCCCCTCCAAATAAAAGTCCAGGAGGGAAAGAAGGACAGATCCCTTCCAGTCTCTGAACAGCAGCATCTTCTGAGGCAGCAGGTTTCTTCTTCTCATGCATGCAGCAGCTGATAGCTGGATTTCTGCCAGCTCTCATGAGGGAGGTATACAAGCCTCTCTCGGCCCCATCGCCTCACAACCGAGGGGTCTTCCGTGGGCTTCGTAACCCCAGACAAGGTCGTTTCACCACGTCATATCACGAAGACACAGGGGGGTCTTCGTGACGGTCTGGTATCTCTTGCAGGGCCTCTGTGCCCTGTCTCTCAGGCTGCCACCGTGGCAGCAGTGCGAGGGGGGAGCCGAGGTCAACTCCCCCCGCATTCCATCTGGCCGTCCCGGTCCAGCTCCAGGACGCTCTGAGCTTCTCAGCTCCTCTCTCTCTCTGGTGCTGCATGTCCAAAACTGCTCTCCAAAATAGGAGTCCATGTCCCTCTTCTCCAAGAGGGGTCTCAAGGGAGTTTTGGGGATCTGGTATCAGTCTTACCCCCAAGAACTCTGTAGCTCTCAGCTGCTGGCTCTCCTTTCCTCGGCTCTCCTTCCAGGAGTCTTTTCTCTGGTGCTGCATGTTGCTTCTGCTGCTCCTCCAGTTCAGGTCCTTATCTCTGGCTCTCTGCCACCGTTTCTCTGCTCAGTGTCGGCTGCTGCTCTGCGCCCGTGGAGAAAACATCTCCCGGCATAACTACAGGCACCTAGGCCAGCTTTATGCTGTTCCAGGTCCCTGCAGCCCCCCAGCCAGGGGCTGGGAGGGGGCCAGAGGCCCCAAGGGGCTCAGAGCCCCTACCTCGTGGCTCTACAACATGGCCACCTCTCCTACAACCAGGCAAACTACAACTCTTCTTTTCCGGTCTGGTTGTGGTATGTTTACATTTCTGCAGGAGCGCCCATTGGGCAGAACTTCAAAACTTCCAGGGGTTTCCACCCCTTGGGGTCTACCACTTCTCTTAGCCTCTGGGGAAAACAAGGTTCAAACCACTACAATATAATATAGCACAAAATAGTGCCCTGTATCAAAGCAATTCCAGTACAGCAATTGCATCAAATTGTATCAAAGCTGGCAAAAAGAAACAATCATTAGTGGAGGCTGATATAACTCCGTGCAACTCAATGCCACGGCCCGAGGGTAAAAGGAATAGGGACGCGACACTGCACAAGAGGGTTCGGACTCAGTTGAAGGTCAGGGGTGCAATGCCACTTTATTGGGGGAAACAGAGAGTTATATAGGATATGGGTAAGGGGAGGTTCCACAACTGGGGCGGAGCATGGGATTGACAACTCAGGGCAGAATGGGATTGGGGAATAGGAGAAAGATGGGTGGAACTCTGGAGTATCCAGGGGAAAGGACCAATGGGAGCTCACTCTGCACTGCAGCATCCATCAGCCAATCAGTGAGAGATGAGCGGGAAAACCAGGGGAGAACAAGGCAGTAAACAACTTTTGGCGGGAAAAACGTGAGGGCAAGTCCAGGCAAGCCCTGAACAGTATAAACCAAGGGGAATTAACATGGGAGCACATTGAACTTGGTATAAAACTGGTAATAAACTGGGGAATAACAAGTCAGTCCGTGAATTAATAGTCTTCAGGCCCCATACACGTCCCTCCAGGCCTTGAACCGTTCCCAGTCAGATTTGTGATCCTCCTCAACTCAACCCCTCAGTAAACATGAAGAGGCCTCCCTGCTCCATGGGACAAGCTCTACACACTCCAGGAAAGTCTGGAAGAATCTGCCACATGAAAGTTGGACTGAGTTTGACTGCCAGTCCCATTTCTCCAGGCCAGCCAGCAGCTTATCAGTCAAATGCTGCTTCCAAAAGCAGGGTATGTGTTTGCAGTGGGCAAACCAGGCTGGTTTTAGCACAACCCAACACTAAAAGCAGCCCCTTGGCACCAGTGGGAGCTCAGCACAGCCAGCTTGGGTTGTTTGCATTCTCTGACCAGATTTTAGGCTCTATCCAGGAAGAGTGTCCTGCCAGACTCCCCAGCCTCTGTGTCCCCCCCTGTGGTGGTTTGAAACTCCCAAGAATCCAATTTCTAAGTTCAAGCCCCCCTCCCACAATTTGCTCCTGTGAGAGGGTTTAGTGATGGCATGGACTTGATATCTTTCTCACCTCATGTGGAGAGTTTTCAGACAAAACACAACTATTTAGTGTTGGGGGAAGGGGAAAATATTTACAAACGTTTCTTTACATATGTATATAGATTTCCATTAAATTAAATTTCTCTTTTTCTTCAATAAAAGTCCACTCCCGGCACTTCCCGCACGCGGCTCTGTCGGAGCCCATGTCACGACACGTGGAGCCACTGCAACAGGTTCTTTTCCTGAGGGATCCCTTGGGGGGGATGAAAGAGAAACACCCCTGGAGAACCAGAGTGACAACAGGAACAGCTGTTCCTGTTGTCTGCCGGGACAAGAGTGGGGGACAGAGTCACCATGTCCCTGTGCCCATCCCACAGGATGGATCCAGCTGTGGAGCCCATGGAGAGGAGGAACTGCACCAGAATCCTACCCCATCCTGCTCCACCCATCCCATCTGACTCCACTCCATCCATCCCACCCCAATTCTGCTCTGAAATCCCACCCCAATCCCACTCCATCCATCCCAGCTGATCCTGCTTCAGAATTCAGCCCTGATCCCACCCCAGAATTCCACTTGATCCCACTCTGGAATCCTGCCCTGATCTGGAATCCTGTCTCAATCCTGCTCCATCTATCCTGCCCCAATTTCCCTCTGGAATACCACATGGATCCTGCTCCATTCCTGTGAGAGAGCAGTCAGTTCCCATGTCTGTTCCTGTGGAAAGAGAAGATTGACGAGATTCTGGCCTGGATCACACACCTGGACCCATTCCAGGATCCATCACGGGATCCACATGGAGAGGTTCTGGATACGCTGCTGGTACTCACCATTGGCCACAACGTATCTCTTCCTCTCCCTCTTCCCTATGGAAATAAAGTGGGATCAGCACCTGTGGCACAAGATCCCCAAAATGCCACCGGATGGATCTGTGCCTCTTCCCAATCCCTATCCCATGAGTTACCGGATTGGAGCTTCCGGATGCCAAATCTCATGTGGATGAGGCCGATGATGATGATGATGGTGATAGCAGCAATGACGGACACCATGACCACCAATAGGATGAGATTCCAGCCGGATTCCGGCTCTGGAAGGTATGGGATGGTGAGAAGGAGGAGGGTGTCAGAGACTGAAACAGTTAATGATTTATGCATTCCAGGAGTTTGCAGGTTTTGACTTTTGCCCTAAAAACACAAGGAGATACCCCAGGTGGACACTTGAGCCCATCCCCTCAGTGCTAAGCCCTAAAAAGGCAAGGAGATGCCTCAGGTGGGCTAAGCCCTAAAAAGGCAAGGAGTTGCCTCAGAGGGGCTAAAGCCCTAAAAGGCAAGAAGACACCTCAGGTGGCCAATCGGACACATCCCTCCCTCTAGTGCTAAGCCCTAAAAGGTAAACAACCCCTCATGCCAGGGAGGTGCAAAAGCATGCTGAGGGTATATAAACTGACTGGTGACTTTGAGAATTTGGGTTCTCCTTCTCCCCCACCGCCTGCGAATCAAGACCATCGCTCTCAAGCATCACTGGAGACCATCACTCTCAAGCATCGCTGGATCCAGTGGGCAGTGACTATGTCCATTTCTTTTATACTCTCAGCTTCTCTTTTCCCTTACTCTCATCCTGGTTTTCCTCTCCCCTAAACAGTTTCTCCCCCCCCCAAAAAGTTATCTCTGTATTGCACTGTTTTATGACAACACCCAAACTGCTAGCACGCTTGTTGATACAGAATTGTTAAAATAAACCTTGCCAGTATATGTTTTCAGACACCGATTATTCAGTGTCGTTTCACTCTAACCCACCCCAAGGGAATTATTGATAAAAACCTGGGTTACCCCCCTCCCTTTTTCTGGGGCGGGTCGTAACAGGAGGGGAACCCCCATTCCACTGCTCCACATTCCCAAACTCCTCATTCCCAAATTCCCAATTCCCAGATTCCCCGTTCCCAGCCTCACCCCAGGCAAAGATCCCAGGCTCCGGCATTCCGGCGTGCTCCACCCGGCACCGGTACTGCTCCCGCTCCCCCGGCAGCGCCTCGATCCTGGCCCAGCTGTGGAAGGTGCCGTCACTGTTGGGAACGATCCCGCCCCACTCTGTCTCCTGATCCCAGATTTCATCCCCCTTCAGCCAGTTGATCTCGATGACCCCGGGGTAGAATCCGTACGCGCGGCAGGACAATGTCAGGATCCCGTGTTCCACTTTTCCAGACACATGGACATCAGGAGGCTCTGCAATGGGATAATGGTGAGATCTATCCATGGAATTCCCAAGGAAATGGGACAGCAGTAAGATCCGTCCACAGAATTCCCACGGGAACAGGATGAGGGCGAGATGTGTAAACAGAATTCCCATGGGAATTCCTGCATTCTCAAATCCGCCTTCCCAAATCCCATATTCCCCAGTTCCCCATTCCCACGAGAATTCTGCCCCCACCTTTTTTCTCCAGCACCTCCTGCCCATACTGGACATGTTTCTGGAGCACTTCCAGGCAGGTGTGCTCCAGGAAATTTGTCAACCTGTCCACTGTGATCCCATCAGAGTCCCAGTGCCTCTTGATGATCTGGGCAGCGCCGTCGGCTGCCACGAAGCTCCCGGATCCCAACTCGAAGGAAAGGAAATCCCGCCCGTCATAGCCTTCCCGATAGGATCCACGGACGCTCCCGTCGGACAGGAGCTCACAGCCGCAATCCCGCTGCAGCGTGTGGAGACCTGGAGGGGGAGGAATCGGATCCACAGAGACCCATGGAAGTGTCTCCCAGCCCCACAGGGCCCCATTCCAGCCCTATGGACTCCCGTAGTCTGATGGAAGATCCACACATCCCGTCCCAGTCCCTTGGAGTCCCACAGATCCCCTCCAGCCCCACAGATCCACATCCCAGCCCCACAGATCCCCCCCAGCCCCACAGATCCACATCCCAGCCCCACAGATCCACATCCCAGCCCCACAGATCCCACCTTCCCCAGCTCCCCCCACTCACCCCCGCTCTGGTTGTACCGGCCCTGCAGCATCTTCAGGTGGTCGGGGTCCTTTTGCCGGTACCTCCCATTGATCCGGGTCTCGGTGTCCCAATATCCCGGCTCGGCTCCGGCCGCCATCCACAGAGTCTGCGGCTCCAGCCGGCCCCGCTCGCTGTCGTAGCGCACGAAGGGGGTCCCGTCCACGGACGCCACGGCCACGTACCGGGGCAGCCCCGGGCCCGGCTCTGACACCACCACGCGCAGGTAACGCAGGGAGTGCACAACTGGGGGGACACAGAGAGCTGGGGGGGCTGGGGGGGCTCATGGGGAACTGGGAGAGCCGGGAGAGCCAGAAAGGGGGCTTGGGGGTCCCAGGGTCAAGGAAAGAGGGATGCAGGGATGGGGAGAGGTGGGATAGGGAGTTCCAGGGGGTCCCTGTGCCCAGGAAAGGGGGGTCCAAGGGGCCCCAAGTGCTGGGAAAAAAGGGGTCATGGGGTGGGGAAACCTGGGATGGCGAAGAATGGGGGGTCACAGGGGTCCCCTTTGTTCTGGAAAAGAGGGGCCTGGGGCTGTAAAAGGCAGAAATGGGGCTCCAGGGGGTCCCAGAGTCAAGGAAAAGGAGGTGTTTGGAGTCTGGGAGAGGCTGGATGGCCAGGAAGCGGATGCAGGGGGGTACTGGTAAAGGATAAGGGGGAGTAGGGGGGTCCCATTGCACAGGAATAGAGGTTCAGGGGGGTCTTGCTGCCACACAAGGGGGTGTAGAAGGGTCCCTGCACCCAGGAAAGGGGGTGTAGGGGGGTCCCTGCGCCTGGGGAAGGGGGTGTAGGGGGGGTCCCAGTGCCCAATAAGGGCATGGAGAGGGTCCCAGTCCCAATTAAGGGGGTTCAGGGGGATCTGGGTGCTGAATAATGAGGTGCAGGAGAGTCCCCATGCCCAGGAATGGAGGTTTGGAGGGTCCCAGTGTCAAGGAAAGGGGGTGAGGGCACCAGAAGAGGCAGGATGGAGGTTCAGGGGTCCTGTGCCCAGGAAAGGGGGGTACAGTGGTCCCCAGTGTTGAGGAAAGTGGGGAAAGGCAGGAATGAGGGGTCCAGGGGGTCCCAGTATTGAGGAAAGGGGGGTCATGGAATGGGGAGACCCAGGATGGCCGAGAATGGGGATCCCAGGGCTCCTCAGTGTAGAAGAAAGGGGGGTTTGGGGGCTGGGGAAGGCAGGAATGGGGTCAGGGGGTCTTAGGGTCAAGGAAAAGGGGGGTATGGGAGAGGTGGGATGGCCGGGAAAAGGGGTGCAGGGGGGTTCCGGTGCCGGATGAGGGGATACAGGGGGGTCCCTGTGTACAGGAACGGGGGTTTCAGGTGGTCCCGGTGCTGGATAAGGGGATTCAAGGGGGACCCAGTGGCCAGGAATGGGAGTTCAGGGGCGTCCCGGTGCCAGGAATGGGGGTTCAGGGGGGTCCCGTGCCCGGAAGTGGCGGTCCAGGAGCTCCCGGTTCCGAGGGCCCCACTTACCCTCCGTCGCCCCCGCCGGGGTCCTCAGGAGCCCCAAGACCCCCAGGAGCGCCCCCAGCCCCAGTGCCGGAGCCATGTCGCTGCTCCGCTGGCCCCGCCCACAACCCGGGCCCGCCCACAGAGCCGCTTTCGGCCCCGCGATTGGCGCCGCTATTTCCTGATCGCCAATGGCAGCTCGATCTGCTCGGGACGTCACCGGTCGCCAAGCAGATCCCGGTGGGGAAGGTTGTGAGGCGGAAGTGACCGAGGGAGCGCGGGGGGGGGCGGGGACGGGGGAATTCCTGGGAATTCACCTGGATCCCCTTTGGGACCCCTCTGGGCACCCCCTGGGCCTCCCTGCGACCCTCCTCGGCCACGTATTGCGGGACCCCCGGGCCGGGTTGAGCTGAACTCCCGGGCCCTGCGGTTAAACGCGGCCTTAAACCCGCTGGTCTGGGGCCAAAGCGGGGGAAGCGCCGGGATCTGCGGATCCCGCGGGGGGGGGGGGGGGGGGGGCGTCTCCCTGTGCCAGTGCCCTCCCCGCGCAGCCCCCACTGCCCCCCGCAGACCCTCCTCATCCCTCCTGGATACTGCCTTCTAGAGCTTCCCAGGGAAGTTCTTATCTCCCTTTCCTCGGGGTGATCCTAAATGCCAGAGGGGCTGGAGAACCCCTTTCCCAGTCACGCGTTTCCCAGGGAAGTGGGTGCAGGGGTATCCCAGTGTCCAGGAATGGGGGTTCAGAGGGGTCCCAGGGTCAAGGAACGGGGAGGCTGGGGGCTGGGAGAGGTGAGATGGCTGGGAAAGGGGTTGCAGGAGGTCCCAGAGCCAGATAACGGGGTGCAGGGGGGTCCTGGATCTGGGGAAGGAGCTGCAGGGGCGTCTCAGTGACCAGGAATGGGGATTCAAGGGGGTCCCAGGGGTCAGGAAATGGGGGGGCTCCCAAAAGCCCTCCCTGGGAGGAGCAGGAGCTGGGTCAGGAGCTCTGTGGGGAGAGAAAAGAGGGTGACACCAGGATGGGGGGCGGTGTCCGGCGGCAGCTCTGGGTCGGGGGGGGGGTGAGGGGGGGCAGGATCCGGGAAACAGCGGTGGCTGCTGGGAAGGGATCAGGATGGATTGGGACAGGATGGGATGGACTGGGGTGGACTGGGATACCGGGATACACTGGGACCAGGACTAGGACCCAGCAGGACCAGAACTGAGGCAACAGGGATCATACTGGGAGCAACTGGGACTAGACTGAGGCTGACTCGGCTTCTACTGGGATCATACTGGCAGTGCCTAAGAGCATGCTGCAGGTAATTGGGATCATGCTGGGGCAACTGGGATATTCTGGGAGCGAGTGGGATCATGCCAGAGGTGACTGGGAGCAACTAGGACCACTCTGGAGGTGATGGGGGGTGGCTGTGACCAACTGGGATCATGCTGAAAGCTGCTGGGAGCAACTGGGAGAGACCGGGAGTGACTGGGATCATACTGGGATATACTGGGAGCATTCTGGGGATGCCTGGGATATACTGGGAGAGACTGGGAGTGACAGGATTCATACTGGAAGTGACTGGGACCATATATGGAGCATTTGACATCATACTGGAATCATTCTGGGAGGGACTGGAAGCGACTAAAGCCATACTGGGGGTGACTTGGAGTAACTGGGACCATGCTGGCGGTCATTGGGTTCTTACTGGGATGATATTGGGGGTGACTAAAACCATACTACGAGTGGGTGGAACCATACTGGGAGTGAATGGAAGCAACTGGGACCATGCTGGTATCTTACTGGTATCTTCCTGGGAGTGACTGGAATCATACTGGGCGTGACTGAAAGTGACTGATATCAGACAGGGAGTGACTGGGCCCATACTGGGGGTCACTGGGAGCCCCTGGACCCAGCTGGGAGTGACACGGGCCCGCACTGGGCGGAACTGGGCAGCTCTGCCCCAGCTGGCCAGACATCGCCATGACGTCATTGGGAGAGGCCATTATGTGCCGGGTGCAAAAACCCAACGCCTCGCTCCGATTGGCTCTTTCCTACGTCACTCCTCGTCGTCGCACGCTGATTGGTCGAGCGGGACCCGCGGCGGGACCCGGAGCGCGCTGGGCTCGGACCCGGGACCGGGCGGGGGGAGGCGGGCGGAGGGGGCGGGAGGCGCCGCGGGAAGCGGGGTCTGGCGGGCTCGGCCTGCCCGGGCGGGGCGGTGTCGGCGGCCCTGGGGAGCGGGGTCTGGCGGGCTCGGCCCGCCGTGTCCCCCCGTGTCCCCTCCCCAGGGGCCGCTGAGGGAGCGGCTGCCCGCGGGCTCCTCCTTCCCGCTGAGCCTCGGCGGGCTCGGAACGGGTTTGTGCCTCGGCCTTGGCCGCAAACATCGCATTCGTTCCCTGGGCTGCGACAAGCCGATAATGACACACTCGAGAGACACATTGAGTCGTTATTGTTTCAGAGTTGGCTGCCCGGGGCTGTTTCACAAGTCAAGCACAACTCGCAAAGCTTTTTACGATTTCCACATGTTAGCAAACAAAGCAAAACAAGCTTGCAAGCAGCTACGAGACATTAGAGCTGGAGAGAACACTTGCTGGTTTAGACTCAGCTGCTTTCCCTCCTGCAGGTTCTTGGAGAGACGGGGGGTGGCCTCAGGTGGGTCTGAAGGGCCGTCCAGCACCTTGGGGGGTGACCGGGGGTGGGTCTGGGACTGAAAACACCTCCCAGTTGTGCAAGTCCTTGGGATGACACCTTTCCAGGTGTGGTGGTGCATCCCCACCCCCCCAGGCCTCCCTGTGATCTGAGAAATGCTCCTTAGGCCTCAGCCTTGATGAACAGCCCTGGGCTGAGCTGCTCTTGAGCTGCTCAGAAACACTCTGCTGCCAGGAACTGGTGCTGTCTAACCAGCTCCTGCAGTTTAACCAACAGCCTGGGAAACTTCTTATTTTTCTTGCCTGAAGAACAACCCAAGTAGAATCCTATTTTTGTTCTCCAACTTTCAGAGAAAGTCACGGACCTGACTTGGGGCCGGGATGGACAATTCCTGTGGGGGCCCCATAACCAGCGGTGCTGAGTGAGACCCTTTGAGGTCTCTGGGGCCGCAGCAGCTGCAGGGACTCTGCTCCAGCACGGGCTGCCCACGGGCTCACATCCTTCTTTTTGGACATCCCCCTGCTCTGTGGGCTCCTCCTTGGGCTGCAGGGGAATCTCAGCCCTGGTGCCTGGAGCACCTCCTGCCCCTCCTTCTGCACTGCCCTGGGGGTCTGCAGAGCTGTTCCTCTCCCCTGTTCCCACTCTGCTCTTCTCTGCACCCAATTCCATCTGCACAAGGACTTTTTCCTCCTTCAGTACTGTGGGGGTTCGACCTCCACATAAATCCAATCTTCAAGTTCCCCTCACAATTTGCCTCAACACCGAAGAGAAATTTTCAGACAGGCACACAGTATGTGGGAAGGGAATTACATACAATTTATTACTACCCAATAAATACTATACAAACTAAAAAGCAATTATATATAATATTAACACAGCTCCCCTTGAACCCTCCCACATCAGTTCAGAAGTCGTCTTCAGGGTAATAGTGAAAAAGTCTCTCTCTCATTGGGGTATCAGGGAAAGGGGTTCTCTTGCACCCCCACCAGCCCTCAGCTCCTGCTGAGGTCTCATCCTGGGCTGCCAGGGAAACACTCACTTCACCAGGTCTTCATCACAAAAAGGTCCAGGGAGTCAGCTCTGAGTCCTTCCTCCTTGGTTTCGTGAAGGTTTCCTCCTAGGGAGTAAGATGTTCCATTTCTCACTCTCCAGGTTGCAGGCTCTGGGTCTCTGCTCAGTCCTTTTTTACCCCAAATAGTTTTCATCAAAAAGTCCTTGCCCAGAAAAACCTGCTGGTTTGGCTCTCTCACTCTTCCTTAGCTGCTGCAGTTTTCAATTTCAGTAGCCCAGGTCCAAACCCAACGTATGGCACCTCCGAGGCCCTCTGGCCCGTCTCCAATTCCTTCAGCCTGCAGTTCTTCCAGCTTTTCCATATATCCCAGCCACTTCTCCAGGCTCTGGACCCCTCTAGCTCCAATGCCGAGCATGCCTTGAATCCACACCACCGCCTTCCCAGGTGAAGAAAAAGAAAGCTCCCTCGCCTTGGCCACAGGGTACTCAGTCCAGTTCACACTGTCCCAAGCCCTGCAGTCTAGCTGGGGGGGGAAGAGGGAGTCTCCCTCACAACACACACATACTCCTACACACTGCCTCCAGCCCTGGCTGAGCCAGGGCCGTGGGGGCACAGGGGCCCCCCCTGGGTTATGGGGGGCCCCCGTCCACCCCTCCGGCTTCTCTCTCTCACACACACGCTCTCACACACAACTAAAACTGCCAACGATTTCCGGCTGTTGTGAATATCTAATTTCAAAAGAGCAAAAAAGAACAGCTGTGATTGGTCCCTCAGCGGGAAACTCTCCAGGGACCAACCACCCCAGCTCCCAGCCCTGGGGGGAGCAGCTAAAACTAAGACAAATACATTCTCCCCAAGGCGTCACTGTCATCTCTGAGATGGAGCCAGCTGGAATTGGCTCTGCTGGACATGGGGGAAGTTTCTGGCAGCTGCTCACTAAACCCAGCCCTGGAGTCCCCCTGCTACCAAAACCTGGCAAACCCAATGCACTGCCCAGCATGGATCATCTGGAACATGAGTCAACAGATCTGTGCCCAATGTGGGTCACTGTGGAACCAATGTGGGTCCTCCGATGGGTGATGGAGTTGGAGCAGCAGATGAAGCTCTTCCCGCAGTTGAGGTGCTCACAGGGCTTCGCTTACTGGTGGGTCCGTTGGTGTGAGGTCAAGGCAGAGCTCTGGCTGAAGCTCTTCCCACACTCGTCACACTTGTAGGGCCTCTCTCCAGTGTGGATGCGCCGGTGCAGGACAAGGTGGGAGTTGCGGTTGAAGCTCTTCCCACAGTCGGTGCAGAGGAAGGGCCTCTCATCTGTGTGCGTCCGCTGATGCAGGAGGAGATGTGAGCTGGTCTTAAACCTCTTCCCACACTCAGGACACTTGTAGGGCCGTTCCCCACTGTGGATCTTCTGGTGGCGGATAAGGTCGGAGCTCAGGCAGAAGCTCTTCCCACATTCCAAGCACTTGTAGGGCCGTTTCCTGGAGTGCAGGCGCTGGTGGGTGATGAGGTTGGAGCGGTCATTGAAGCTTTTCCCACATTCCCCACACTGGTAGGGTTGTTCTCCGGTGTGAACGATCTGGTGGCGGATCAGGCAGAAGCGCCGGCTGAAGCTGCTCCCACACTCCGAGCACTTGTAGGGCCTTTCCCCAGTGTGGATGCGCTGGTGGCGGATCAGGTGGTATCTCTTGCTAAACCTCTTCCCACATTCCAAGCACTTGAACGGCCTTTTCCCAGCACGGAGCTGCTCATGGACCTCCAGGTCAGAGCTCTCGCTCAAGCTCTCGTCACCTTCCCGGCACAGGGTGGGTCTTTCCTCCTCAGAGCACCCTGGGCTGGCTTTGGAGACCCTCCTCCTGGGGTACCTTCGTGGTTTTTCCTCCCCGCTGCCTTCCTGCGCCGTGGAGCCCTTCAAAACGGCCTCTCCCACCAGGCTCTGCCGGGGGGATTTGTCCTCCGGGCTCTCCGTCCTCAGCTCGGGGCCTGGGGCAGGAGGGAAGAAGGACAGGGAGGGGATTTGCCTCCGGCCCAGAGGGAAGGCCAAGGACATCCCCCCAACTCCGGCCCCGGCAGGACGGCGGCGGCAGCGGGGTTGTCCTGCAGCCGGGGGCGATGCTCGGCTGGGAGATACAGGACAAGACAGGGGCAAAGGGGCACTGACTTCCTCCTCACCTGCCTGGGGGTCCTGGGGCATCTTCCTCTTCCTCGCAGACTCCTCCTCCATCTGGCCAAGCTTTGTGAAGGAGAAATGCTGGTCTGGGGGGGAAAACAAGGGGTGAGTGTGTTGGGTTGGCGGTTCCTCCTGCCCAAGTCCATCTCTAGATGTTACTGGGTGGCTTCTGGCCAAGAAAACCTCCGAAACACCAAGATTCAGCCCAAAAAACCCTCCCAGTAGTCCCCCTCTCTGGTCTCTGTACTTTGGGGTTCTGGGGATTCCCTGGTCAAGGCTGCTGGGCGTCCCACATGTACTGGGAGTACTCCCTCTCAAGACTCCCCCTTCTCCAGGCTCCCCTTTCTCCAGGGTCCCCCCTGTCTGCACTGTTGGGGGTCCAAGGGCTCCCCCCTTTCTGGGCTCCCACTTCAGTGTTTCAGGGGTCCCAAGGGTAGCCCCTCTCCAGGCCCCTGTTTCAGGGTTTAGGCGTCCCCCAGTTCTAGCATCACTTCTCTTTGCTCTCCCCACTCTGAAGGTCCTCTTCCTTCCCCTCCTCCTCCTCCATCCCTTCTCCTCCTCCCCCCAGGACCAGCATCCACCCTTGGCCCCCATTCCCCCCAAACCCATCACATCCCGCGGGAGGAGCAGGGATGGAGCTGGGGCAGGTCAGGATGGGGCAGCACTGGGCTCTTGTCTGCTCCCACCCCCTGGGGGGATCCCAGGAAGGGCAAAAGAACAGCAAAAGAGGGAAAAGGCATGGCTGGAGATAAAAATTCAGGGCTTGTGGCAGCCCTTTGGGTTCATCTCAGGAGCCTGCAGATCTTGGAGGGGGAATGCAGAGATGGATGATGGGGAATCCCGAGGGATTTTGGGGGCAGTGTGAGGGGTTGTGGGAGCCCCTTGTTGGGGGATCAGGCTGGAGACCCCCCGGTGCTCCCGGGACCCTGGGCTGGAGAGTTGTCACCACCTTCTCCTGCCTGGGGGGGCTCTGGGGGGACCTCGGCTCCTGGGGGCTCTTCTGCAGCTGCAGAACCTGGAGGGACCCTCCTCTGGGTGGGTCCTCCAGGTGTTCCAGGAGCTTTGGGCTCATCCTGGGAGCAACTGGGCTACACTGGGATCATCCTGAGATCATCCTGGGAGTGACTGGGCTACACTGGGATCATCCTGAGATCATATTGGGAGTGACTGGGCTACACTAGGATCATCCTGAGATCATATTGGGAGAGACTGGGCTACACTGGGATCATCCTGAGATCGTACTGGGAGAGACTGGGCTACACTGGGATCATACAGGGAGTGTCTGTAACCACACTGAGGGTGACTGGGACCACCCTGGGGGCAACTGGGACTATGCTGGGAGACACTGGGGTCATACTGGGAGTGACTGGGATTATACTAGGAGCACCTGGGTGCAACTGGGATCACAGTGGGAGGAAAAGGGAGACACTGGAACCATGCTGGGAGCAGCTGGGATCATACTGGGATCACACTGCGAGCAGCTGGGCCCGTCCTGGGGAGACTGGGATCACAGTGAGTGGGACTGGGATCATACTGGGAGTGAGTGACAAGGAGCATGCTGGGGGCAACTGGGACCATGTTGGAACCATGCTGGGGGGACTGGAACCACAACTGGGGCAACAGGGACCACACTTTGGGCTACTGGGAGCAACTGACAGAAACTGGGATCATGCTGGAAGCAACTGGGAGTCACTGGGAAGGACTGGGTGCGTGCTGCAGGCAACTGGGATATCTTGGGGCTGTCTGTAACCATACTGGGGATGACTGGGACCATGCTGGGGACAACTGGGAGCAAGAGGCAGTGACTGGGTCTATACTGGGGGTGACTGGGAACCTGCTGGGACAGACTGGGATGATACTGGCAGTGACTGGGACTATGCTAGGGGCAACTAGGACTACACTGAGACAAACAGGGAGCAAATGGGACCATGATGGTGGCAACTGGGATCATACTGAGAGTGACTGGGATCGTACTGGCAGGGGCAAAGAGCATGCTGGGGGCAATTGGGACCTTGGTGGGGGCAACTGGAATATACTGGGAGCAACTGAAACAATGCTCAAGGTGACTGGGTCAAACTGGGAGCGACTGGGACCACACTGAGGGTGACTGGGAGTGGCTGTGAGCATGGCTGGGATCATGCTGGAAGTAACTGGGAGGAACTGGGAGTGACTGGGATATACTGGGGGTGACAGGAACCAGTGCCTGGAATAATACCAGCAGTATCTGGGAGTGACTGACATCATACTGGGGTTGAGTGGGAGCAACTGGGGCCATGTAAATGGCATTATACTGGAAGTGACTGGTTTCACAAGGGGAGCAAATGGAAGCTTGCTGGAGGGAACTGGGATCATACTGGGAATGACTGGAAGGAACTGCCATGATACTGGGTTCATATTGGCAGTGGCCGGAAGGAACTGGGATCATACTGGAGGTGACTGGGACCATACTGGGAGCAACTGGGATTACAGTGGGTGTGAATGGAACCTTACTGGGGGTTACTGGGAGCTTCTTGGTCCATGCTGGCAGCAAGTGGGATCAACTGGAAGATACTGGAACCATGCTGGGGGGACTGGAACCACAGCTGGGGCAGCTGGAATCATACTGGGAGAAACTGGGCTCACACTGGGATCATACTGGGAGTGACTGGCACTATGCTGGGGCCAATTGGGACCATGTTGTGGGCAAGTAGGATATAGCGGGAGCAACTGGGCTCATACTGGGAGTGACTGGGCTCTGGAAAGCGCAGGAGGGAGAGGGCAAACCCCTTCCTGCTGCTCTGCATTCCCAAAATCCTTGTTCCCAGTTCCCACTCTGGCCCTGACCAGCAGATCCACTCAGGGATCCCTTTCCCTGGGGACACTTCCCTGCCCTCTCCCCGCCTTCCTGCCCCTGGAAATCAGCACTTAGGAGCCTCATCCCATTGTTCCCTCCTTCTCTTCCCTATTATTACCAGGATCCCCCTGCACCCCCTTTTCCTGGGCACTGGGACCCCCTGCCTGGCCATTCCCAGTTTTCCAGCCCCCAGACCTCCCTTTCTTTGATTCTGGGACCCCCCCTGCCCTCTCTTTCCTGGTCATCCTGCCTCTCCTAGCCCTTGGATCCCCCTTTTCCTTAGCCCCCATTCCCGGCCACCCCAGGTCACCTCACCCCCAGCCCCCCTTTCCTTCACCCCAGCAGCCCCTGCAGCCCCTTGCCAGCTCTCCCAGTTCCCCCCTTTCCTTGACCTTGGGATAACCCCAACACCCAAATCTTCGTGTCTCCCCAGTTCCCCACTCCCAGTGCTTCCTGCAGGGGGGTCCTGGGGTGTCCCAGGGGGTCCCTGAACCCCCCATTTCTGTGCACTGAGACCCCCCGTGCAGCCCCTTATCTGGGACCGGGACCCCCTGCACCCACTTCCCGGCCACCTCACCTCTCCCAGACTCCACACTCCCTTTTCCTTGACCCTGTGACTCTCTGGACCCCCACTGCTGTGAATCAGGACCCCCCTGCACCCCAATTTCCTGGCCATCCCACCCCTCCCAGACTCCATACTCCCTTTTCCTCGACCCTGGCACCCCCTGGACCCCCATTCCTGCCTCTTCCAGCCCACAACCCTCCCTTTCCTAACACCCAGGACCCTCTGAACCACCTTCTGGGACATCCCAGCTGTCCCCACCCAATGAACCACCTTTCCCTGACACTGGAGGCCCCTGGACCCCCCTTTCCTGGGCACAGGGACCCTCTAGACCCACTCTAGTGCCAGTCCCTACATTCTCACTTTCTCCTTGATTCTGGGACCCCCCTTGAGCCCCCATTCCTGGGCTCAGGAACCCCCCTTAACCCACTTATCCTGCACCAATAACCCCCTGCACCCCCTTTCCCTGCCATCCCGCCTCTCCCAGCCCCCAGGTCTCCCTTTTCCTTGACCCTGGGACCCCCTGGACTCCCGTTCCTGCCTTTCTGAAACCCCAGACCCCTGTGTTTTGAACACTGAGGAACCCCCTGAACCCCTTTTCCTGTCATTCTGTGTCCCCCTACCCTGTGACTCCCCCTTTCCCTGACACCGAGGACCCCTGGACCCCCACTGACATCCCATCCCACCTCTCCAATCTCTGCACCCCCCTTTCCGTGGCCCTGGGACCCCCGGGAACCCCCTTCCCCAGCACTGTGTCCCCCCTGCACCCCCAAGACTCAGCCCAAAATAACCCTCCCAGCACTTCCCCCTCTCTGCTCTCTCCACTTTGGGGGCCCGAGGGTCCCCCCTCTCCCGGATCCCCCTCTCGGGCTACCAGGGCTCCCCCCTCTCCGTGCTCCGGGCTGGCAACCAAGGGCCTGACCCAGCAACACCGACCCCACCGCGGGGGGGACCCGCATCCCCCCACCTACCGCCGGGAACCCACACCGGGACCCCCAAAAACACCTCCCGGGGACCCCCGATAGCCCCCCAAGGCGCATTTGCGGCTCAGCTTTGGGGTCCTGCAACATCCAAACATCCTCTCCCTCAAAACCCCACAAACCCAGAGCCCCCCCAGACATTCGGGGCTCGGCTCTGGAGTCCCGCAGCACTTTCTCTCTCCTCTTGCCCGGCCCTGTTTCCCAGCTCCGGCCCAGCCCCGCGGCAGCACCAACGCGGCATCCAAGCCCCGGGGCCATTCCTGCTTCCCTTCCCGGCCTTTCCCGGGCCCAGCCCGGCTCTCCTGTTCTATCCCACCCCCGCACCGAGCTTTGGGGGGCACGGCGGGGATTGGGGGGCTCTGCTGGGCCACGAAGGGACCCCAAGGGAAGCCCTTTCCCGCCGTCCCACCTCCCCTTATTCCCCCTCTCCCACCCCTTTCCCACCGTCCCCCCAAACCCCGGCTCCTTCCCAGCTCCCTTTGGGGGTGACCCACCGCCCCTCGCGCTCAGTTTGGGGGTCCCATCCCCTCTTTTCCCCCTCTCTTCCCCCCTTTCCCACCGTGTCCCCCCCGCTCACCCGAGAGCTCCGCGGCCGCAGGGACGGAACAGGAAAAGGCGGAGCGGGAGGAACGGGAGGGGATAAAGGAGGAAAAGGAAACGAGAGAGGATCGCCCCGCCCCGTCCCGCACGTTCCTGGGAAGAAGGAGCTCGTCCCAAAAATCTTGGTTGGTTGGTTCGTTGATTTTTGTTCATGGCGGGCAGGGGGGGTGAATGTTTGGATCTTGCAGGACCCCAAAGCTGAGCCCCAAATGCCCCTTGGGGGGATATCGAGGATCCCCGGGAGGTGTTTTTGGGGGTCCCGGTGTGGGTTCCCGGCGCTGGGCGGGGGGATGCGGGTCCCCCCCCGCGGTGGGGGTCGGTGATCCCGGGTCAGGCCCCGCCGCCTCCGCTGTCCCCCGGTACCGGCGGGGGGGGGGCTGGGCCGGGGGGGACGGACGGACACGACCCAGCGGGTTTGGGGACCCCTCGGGAGAGCCGGGGGTGGGGGGGGAGGAACCCTGGAGTGGGGAGAGCGGAGCGGGGCGAGAGCGGAGCTGGGGGACCCCCGGCAGCCTGGAGGGGGAGCACGTGGGGGGGACCCCGGGAGCCTGAAAGTGGAGCCCAAGGAAGGTGGGACCCAGGAGAGGGGGGACCTTGGGAACCCGGTACCTCCAAGCAGAGAGAGAGGGGAGAAGGGACCCCTGGGACCTCCAAACTTCCCTGTATCCCTGAGCAGCACCGTGGAGAGGGGGGAAAGCCCAGGGACCCAAAGTGAGGAGACAGGAGAGGGGGCGATCCTGGGATTCCTGGGACCCCCAGAAGCCCGGAGAGGGTAGTGACTCTGGACAGGGGGTACCCTCAATGTGCATGGGACCACCAGGAGCCTGGACAGGGGGGAACCCCAGAACGCCAAAGTTGAGACACTGGAGAAGGGAAACTCCTGGGAGGGTTTTTTAAGGCAGAGTCTTCATGGGTTTGTGTTTTTATGGGATGAATCTTGGTCTTTTGGAGGTTTTTACAGACACAAGATGCTCGGTGCTTCTAGAGATGGACTTTGGTAGGAGGAACCCCCAACCCAACGCACTCACACCTTGTTTTCCCCCCCAGACCAGCATTTCTCCTTCCCAAACTTTGGCTGGATGGAGGAGAAGGCTACGAGGAAGAGGAAGATGCCCCGGGACCCCCAGGCAGGTGAGGAGGAAGTCAGTGCCCCTTTGCCCCTGTCTTGTCCTGTATCTCCCAGCCGAGCATCGCCCCCGGCTGCAGGACAACCCCGCTGCCGCCGCCGTCCTGCCGGGGCCGGAGTTGGGGGGATGTCCTTGGCCTTCCCTCTGGGCCGGAGGCAAATCCCCTCCCTGTCCTTCTTCCCTCCTGCCCCAGGCCCCGAGCTGAGGACGGAGAGCCCGGAGGACAAATCCCCCCGGCAGAGCCTGGTGGGAGAGGCCGTTTTGAAGGGCTCCACGGCGCAGGAAGGCAGCGGGGAGGGAAAGCCACGGAGATCTCCCAGGAGGAGGGTCTCCAAAGGCAGCCCAGGGAACTCTGAGGAGGAAAGACCCACCCTGCGCCGGGAAGGCGGACGGACCTTCATCCAGAGCCCTGACCTGATGGTCCACGTTCAGTTTCACCCCAGAGAGAAGCCTTACAGGTGCTTGGAGTGTCGGAAGAGCTTCGCCCAGATCTCTCACCTCTTCTACCACCAACAGGTACACACTGAGGAGGGACCGGTGTGATTGAAATTGTGGAAGAGCTTCAAGCAGAGCTCCAAGCTTTGCGCCCACCAATCCCTGCACACTGAGGAACAGCCCTACAAGTGCTTGGAATGTGGAAGAGCTTCAGTTGGAACTCCTGCCTCATCACCCACCAGCATCTGCACACGGGGGAGAAGCCCTACAAGTGTCAGAAATGTGGGGAGAGCTTCAGCTTGGGCTCGCACCTGATCCACCACCAGATGATCCACATGGGGGAACGGCCCTACACGTGTGGGGAATGTGGGAAGAGCTTCAGTGACTGCTTCTACCTCATCACCCACCAGCACCGACCCTATAAGTGCCTGGAGTGTGGGAAGAGCTTCAGCGTCAGGTCCAACCTGATCTGCCACCAGAAGATCCACACCGGGGAACGGCCCTACAAGTGTCTCAAGTGTGGGAAGAGGTTCCAGACCAGCTCCCGTCTCCTCGTCCATCAGCAGATGCACACGGGGGAATGGCCCTGCAAGTGTCCCGAGTGTGGGAAGAGGTTTTGGAGCAGTTCATGTCTTTTCCTGCATGAGCAAGGGCACGCAGGGGAACAGTGCTGATCCCGTTGGGATCTGGTCACCAGTGGTGTCCCCTAGGGATCAGTGTTGGGCCCAGTTCTATTTAATATCTTTATCGATAATTTAGATGAGGGAATTGAGTCCACCATCAGCAAATTTGCAGATGACACTAAGTTGGGGGGGGAATGTTGATCTGCTGGAAGGCAGGAGGGCTCTGCAGAGGGACCTGGACATGCTGGAGAGTTGGGCTGATTCTGACGGGATGAGGTTCAACCAGGCCAAATGCCAGGACCTGCCCTTTGGACACAAGAAGCCCCGGCAGCTCCGGGCTGGGACAGAGTGGCTGGAGAGCAGCCAGGCAGAAAGGGAGCTGGGAGTGTGGATAGACAGGAAGCTGAACAGGAGACAGAGTGTGCCTGGGTGGCGAAGAAGACCAATGGATCCTGGCCTGGCTCAGGAAGAGTGTGGCAGCAGGAGCAGGGAAGTGATTCTTCCCCTGGACTCAGCGCTGGTGAGGCCACCCCTGGAGTGCTGTGTCCAGTTCTGGGCCCTCAGCTCAGGAAGGCCCTGGAGGGGCTGGAGCAGGTGCAGAGAAGAGCAACGAGGCTGGGGAAGGAACTGGAGCACAAGTGCTGTGAGGAGAGGCTGAGGGAGCTGGAGAAGAGGATGCTCAGGGGAGACCTCCTCACTCTCTACAACTCCCTGACAGGAGGGTGTAGCCAGGTGGGCGTCCGTGACATCTCAGGCAGAGATGCCATGAGGTGTAATGGAATCCTTTATTACAGTTCTTTCACAGTTTATATACCCCGTTACAGCAGCAGTAAATTCCTGTTAGTAACTCTTCTCTAGATCTACTTTTTAGTTAAGCATTCACTGCCCATGAGAAAAATACTCCCAAGCACTTTTCCCCACACAAAGACACATCTCACTACGTCCGCTTTTATCTTGCCAAGTTCCCCTTAAGTTTCTCCCAGGGTCCTGTAATCTTGGTTCCCTACATCTCCCTCTTCTTTATTTTCTAAGGCACTTAAGTTAAAGCTGTATGGACTTGTACCACCAAGGCTTGAAATCTTTTTCACCCATGGCCCCAATCCCAAAGTCCAATCCCATCCTTCAAAGGGGTTCCATCTGTTGTTCACCGTCAGTTTCTTTGTTAGGTCCTGTAACTGTTGTAAAGCTTTTGTGAATGGAGGTTGATTTGTCACTCAAGTTCATGCAACACATTCCATCAAATCCTTCCCATTCATGTCCCTGTGCTAAAAGCAAAAAGTCAATAGCAGCTCTATTTTTCAAAGTAACATGTCTTACTGACTGAGCACTGGTCAATAAATCTGCAATAGCCTGACTAGTAGCATTTGTCTGTTTTGCTAACCAACATCCTAATCTATCCAAAACTAAGGGCCATGTTTATATAAACAAAGTGCTCTTGGCAGCTTTCCCGGTAATGTTCCCAAACATTCCCAGACACTGTACCAAAATAAACCGAGATAACCCGAAGTTTCCCAGCCAATGTCCCCGAACTACAGCAAACGTCTCCCCCCCCCCACAATGGGTAAAGGAGACAGAAGGGAAAAGGGAAAAAAAACCCAAAGGACTCAAACTGAACTAAAGCAATATTTATATATTTACACTGAATTGCAGTTACAAAAACCTATACACATAGAAGAAAAGAGAACCCCCAAAAAAATGAAAAACAGATATACCCAAATATACATGGCTAATAGAGAGCCAGCAAGCAAAAAGAATCTTAATACTTCCCTTGAGAAAGCAGAACTGTGCCAACAGACTTCCCCTACGAGTCGGGACGAAGCAACCACCTCCCGAGGTCTGCGAGGCCCCACAGCCCTTCACAGGAGCTCAGCGAAGCTGCCCCTTCTCTCCAACCCAGCCAGAAGACATCTGGCCAGCCAATTTCCTCCCCCTTGTATTAATACCTCTGCTTACGTAAGGAATAGAATGGAATTCTGGGAACACAGGGCACTTCCCTGGTTTCGAGCTGGTTGCCAGGAAGGGATCAGACCCAGCCAGCACAGGTTTAGGAGGGGCAGGTCCTGTCTGATCAACCTGATCTCCTTTTATGACGAAGTGACCCACTTGGTGGATGAGGGGAAGGCTGTGGATGTGTCTACGTGGACTGCAGCACAGCCTTGGACACTGTTTCCTATGGCACACTCCTGGAAAAGCTGCAGCCAAGGCTTGGACAGGGGCACTCTGCTGGGTTAAGGGCCCAGGGAGTGGTGGGGATGGAGCTGCATCCAGTTGGGATCCGGTCACCAGTGGTGTCCCCAGGGATCAGCGCTGGGCCCAGTTCTATTTAATATCTTTATTGATGATTTAGATGAAGGGATTGAGTCCACCATCAGCAAATTTGCAGATGACACCAAGCTGGGGGGTGTGTTGATGTGCTGGAAGGCAGGAGGGCTCTGCAGAGGGACCTGGACAAGCTGGAGAGTTGGGCTGATTCTGACGGGATGAGGTTCAACCAGGCCAAGTGCCGGGTCTTGTCCTTTGGCCACAACAACCCCCGGCAGCCCCCCGGGCTGGGGACAGAGTGGCTGGAGAGCAGCCAGGCAGGAAGGGAGCTGGGAGTGTGGATTGACAGCAGCTGAACATGAGCCAGAGTGTGCCCAGGTGGCCAAGAGGGCCAATGGATCCTGGCCTGGCTCAGGAAGAGTGTGGCAGCAGGAGCAGGGAAGTGATTCTTCCCCTGGACTCAGCGCTGGTGAGGCCACCCCTGGAGTGCTGTGTCCAGCTCTGGGCCCTCAGCTCAGGAAGGACATGGAGGGGCTGGAGCAGGTGCAGAGAAGAGCAACGAGG